ATGAGGCCAGCCTCTTCTCCGTGGTGCCCAGCAACAGGACAAGAGGCAATGGGCACAAATTGAACCACAGGAAGTTCCCCCTGAACCTGAGAAAAAACTTCTTGACTGTGAGGGTGACAGAGCATTGGAAGAGGTTGCCCAGAGAGGTAGTGAAGTCTCCTTCGCTGGAGATCTTCAGAACCCATCTGGATGTGATCCTGGACAATATGCTCTAGGTGACCCTGCTTGAACAGGGAGGTTGGACTAGATGATCTCCAGAGGTCCCATCCAACCTAAAAGATTCTGTGATTCTGTACGCTATTTTAAGACAGAGACATAACGTAACTCACCACATTAACAAACTGCATGCATTCTTTACCGTTTAGCACAATTTAGAATGGGAGAGTAACCTTTTTAAAAAGCATGGCTCTATACTTACAGTAGTGAACTTCTAAGGACGTTCCACAGCTATATTCACAAATGATACATAATCTTCTCAAAGAGGGGAAATGCACTTCCTTTTCCCCATAACTGTACCCTGGCCTTTTTCATTGTTTTTTTTTTTTTTAAAACACACTCAAAGCCCAGCCACATGATCTGAAGTTTAGTCAGCTCTCCGTTTCAGTTCAGATAGACAACTGGATGCTCTCTTTCCATCATTACACTTCTGTTTTCACTATGAAAAAACTTTGTTTAGCAAATACAACGTTTCACAACTTTTCTAACATTCTGATGACTGTAATTGTGAAGTTAATGCTTCAGAAAGGTAACACATTCAGGAACATCTGCGTGACTTCTGGAAACTCAAATCCCATTTTCAAAAATTACTTGGATATCTCAGAAGTGGGTCCTAAACATCTACATCCCATTATTAGGCCACCATGTAAGAGGATGTGTGCATATGCCCCACACACTGATCTTTTCACTCCTTGACCTGTAGCCCTTGGTAGTAGTAGCTTTTAACTTGCATCCCCCCAGGCGCACCCCCATACAGAGCTCATCCATAATCGCTGGTGTACTCCAAGGCTGTTCCTTGCCTCACTGCACAGTAACTTCTTTTTGCAGGAAGGCTTTCCGTGTTCTTATCCACCAACAACCGCATTCACAAAGGCACTGGTTGACAATTACGAACCCACATTCGAGAGTCTAGGCCACTATTCGGTCCTACCATGTACAAACATAAGTCTTGCACAAATCTTGCATGTCTGTAATAATTATTACTTGCGAAATGGAAGAGTTACTATCACTTACTGGTACTGTGAAGATTGTACTAACTTCTTAGGATATTCTTTCTATAAGCACTGTTGATAGATTATAGAAGAATTTGTTAAAAGTACCATTTTAAGAACTAATATAGTAAATCTGAAGCCAATTATGTAAAAGCACAAATGCTAAACCACAGCAATGTCCTTGAACAAAATATAAGGTAACCTCAATGCTCTAAAATAAATCACATTGAGAAAGTCATGAGTTCAGTTCCATTTTTATCCCGTCATCCAGAGAAGTACCCAATCATTCTTAACACTCAATAGGCAAAGATAATAATTCTCAGTGAGGCGATAACATTAATTTTTTTCACTCAATAAATTGAGATGGTAAGCCTAAGGAAAATTAACACGTACCGAATATTTAAATTCGGTTTGAATTAATTGCTGATGTAAGCAAGAGGTGAACAATGGTCCAACAGAAGCATTTTTAACTCAAAATAAACCTAGAGGATTTGGATACTATTGAATTGTGGAGAAAACAATTTGGTAAAATACAAACATACTGTTTTTCAAGTGTGCAAGGAAGGACCTCATCTTCTGACAAACATCAAAGCTCAGCTACAATCTAAAACTGTAAGAATTACCTATGGATCACTGATTCTCTGGATCACAACTCACAGCAGCAAGCTGGAAGACTTCAGTCTCTCACAGCATCTGCATCTGGTTCAACAGACCCTTTTTACTTTTAGAGCTAATTTTTCTGCATCAAGGCTAAGAAACATTTGCAGGAGAATACAAGAGAAGTCTTCATACTTTTAATTCCATAGTTAAAAAAAAAATGGCAATATCAAGTCTACCAATCTTTACAAGTTTCATTCAGTTTCACAAAAAAAATACATAATGTTATATATACATAAATAAAATACAGACTCCAAAACACACAGCTACAGGTCTGCTTCAGTAACATCCTCATCAGGGCAACAATAGTACTCTACAAAACAGATCTGTCCATCTTCATTCCTAATCATATACTGCAGTGAAAGAAATCCTCGAGTATCCGTTCGAATGGACACTTTACAAGATAAAGCTAGTGCCTTTGTGGATGGTTTAAGCAAAGAAATCTTATACCTGCAATGGAGAAAAAAGTAATTTAAAAAACGTATTACACAGAGAAGAGCTGAAACACTGCTCCCAATTAAAGCCATAAAGTTACGGAAAGCCAATTCGCAATATCCTATTTTGATCTTCTCCTGGTAACAACATCAGACAGACAGTTACCACCGAGTTTTTGATCATAGATATAGAATTTTATCAGATGGGAATTCTGCACTAATGAAATAAATATTTCAGTAATGCAAAAGCAGTTGTTTCAACTTTCCATCAAAAATGTATAACCTGCCACAGAGCGCACTGCTCACACACTCACTAACCTGTTTGTCTGGGTTTGGTTACAGTGGAATGCTTCCATCAAATCAGAGTCCTTGGGATAATCGAGATGTGCACTCCCTGCATTTCCAAAAGTGGATAACCTGAAAGACAAAAGGTGCCATCTCAAAATATTTGATAGCAGCTCTACAAAAACTTGTCAGACGTGGTCATCATATATATCTATATATGGCTGTTTTACAAAATGCTATTGTTACCAAGAAAACATTCAGCAAACTACAAGAGTGTTTTATATCTCCCAGAAAGGGAGATACACATTATGGCAGAATGGGATAACTTAGGAAAAGTCTGAAGCAACTCCAAAGCCTAAGATTGCCTTAAGGCATCTGACAATGGTTTCACACAAAGCTTATTTCTTTTAATGAAAGACTGGCTATTGGTCTTTAGTAGCACATTTTAGTCTCTATTTATAAATACTGCAAGTGAAAACATCTCCATTCTGCAGCACTAGCTATGAAAGTAAAAAGAATGTGGAAATCCTAGAAATTCCCTTATTCTCTACACTGACCGAATTATTGATTTCAGGTAGTTGCCAGGGCTCCCAAAACCATTCGGGACCTGGGAGATACTCTCAGCTAACGAAGGTGCTAAAGAAAAATTCTCAATGAATTCAGACTCATGAATTCAGACTCAATTCCTAATGAATTCAGACTCTCTAAAGCGTAGAGAAAACAAACTAACGGACGTTGAATCTTCCTTAAGCCGAAACAAATCCTCAAGACACGTGGTTTCCAGTTGCCAACAGCATGAGGTCAAACATTGACAAAAGTTACCCTGCATCTTGTTTCAGTGACTAATGTTAGAAGAAGCACACTACAGAATAATACAGTAAGCTGAGGTTATTGAAGGTGCAGACTGATAGGATGGAAAACAGACAGTAATAACTAGGGTTTAAAACGGTGTCCATCAGGAAGAGCTTTTTCCAGGTAAAAGCATAATTTTTGCTGCCAAGTTCGATGCTTTGTTCACCCTACTTCACTGACGTGTGCTACATTATCTTCCAAAGAGATGCACTATCATATTCTCATGGTAGACTTGGATGATAACTGGACCATACGACACGTCTTCAGGGTTCCACTATTAGAGACGCCAGAGCAACATGACATACAACACTGAGTTATTAAACGTCTTCCAAACTAGTTCAAATTTGCTTTAAAAGAAATGTTATGGGCTGAATTAGGGATTATCCATCACAGAACCTCTGTCTTTACAGACAAACAGTAAAATACCATGAGCAGAACACACATGTACGCAGTTCTTCATTCTCCTCCTCTGCTTATTTTGAAATACTCTGATTTGAGTCACTACGTGCACAGTTTGGTTGTACACGTTGCAGCAGATGTATTCCCGCAACAAGAAACACATGCTCCTTGGAGTGCACAATCTGTCCCACCCAGAAATGCTGTTGTCTTGTCTGTTTCTATATAAGACACACAGCAAAACAAATTTAAGCTGATATTTGTGTTTGTTTTACTTTAATTAAAAATGCTAAACTGTCCACAACTGTCATCAATACATTAATGATTACATTAATTAGATTACATGTTGTTATTTACTATATTCATTACCATTTTCCTTAAAATAAACCAGTGTTGTAGAACAGCTTCCCCTTGTTCACCCTAAAAACTTCCAGTCCTTTCCCACAGGAGAGCAGAAAGGCCACATAGGAACATTTGAGTTGGATGCATAACTTCTGGTACCTGAAATAGGGCTTGTCTGGAGACATGGTAATCTGCAGAACTTCACTGGTCATATCTAATTCAGCAAATGCTTCTCGTAGCCCCTCTGACTGCAGGATAATTTTATTAACAACATTTGTACTGCAGAAATCAAAGTCTAACAACTCCTCAGGTTCTTGAGTATTAATTTTGCACACTGTCACCACCCCTCCTTCTTCTAAGAACAGTATCAAGGGATAGCCATAACCACGATAACACATCCTAAGGGCTGTTGATGTTCCTGAAAAAGAGAAGGAAACAGTCATTCTTTACAGAGCTAGCTAGCACATCTCATCACTTTAGGAAATTTAGATACTACCTGCATATGGGGCACCAATTAATTTAGAATGCTTGCTCTAGCCTCATATATTAATTCTGCATGCTCAGTCCAGCCTCCTACACACCCTTCAAAGAGTAATGTCTATGCAGCAAAATGAAATTATGTCAATGTAGGCACTAGATTGAATCCAACTAGTGGTATGTATTAAACAGGTAACTCTAGATGTCACACTGCATATGCTACAATAGGTTAGCAGAGTCAGTAAAACTTCCACGGTCCTAGGGCCCACTCTGGCTCATAACGTCACTTTTCACTGCTCTTTTTACTTGTGCAGTCCAAATTAAAATTAACACAACGTAGCTTACATTATGGTAGCAACCCCCTTTTGCTATGCAAGCATAACCTGAACGCTCGGGTCCCCCAAATCATGGTGCAGTTTAGCACAGTTAATTGTCTATCTTTAGGTCAGAGCCAGAACAGAAACAGCAGAGCGACCTAGAGTTCAACATAGCTGCAATGATGGAACTGCCTGAGAAAACTGGCATGGTAACACTCTGCTGCATACAAATACCGAGTACATCCTGTAGCACTCATACAGTTACCCTGAATTTCAGTTATTTTGCCTGAGAAAACATTTTTTGAACAATCTAGCTTAAAAAAAAAAAAGAATGTAATTTCTAAGAAGTAAAATCTAGCTAAGACTTGGCTTTTTCAATGAATGAATATATGACATTCAATATTTGTATACATAATTATGAAGGCAATTTCCCTCCCTCCATCACCGAAAGCCAGTAATACAGTCTACTTGATTTTTCTAATTCACACACTCGATAAACTATGTCATATGCTTCGTAGCAAAATCTAAAACCCTTTATTCACCTGAGAAGTGTGCGTAGGGAAGACGGTGTGCTTAGGGCACTTGAAGTGGTCTCTAATTCAGCAACAAGCTCCTTGCAAAGCCTTAGGTAAGTAACATGCCTCAGTTCCTTGTTTGCAAGCTAGAGATGATACTCTCAAAATAGATGCAGCTGTAGCTTGAAGAAGGGAAGGAACAGAGCATGCTACACAACAGCTACTGTATTAGGAGTAGGAGCGCAGACAACGAGCAGATGATGCTATCTGGAACAACTGCAGATTCCTACCCCAATAAATTCGCCTCAGAATACTTCCTAATTCAAGCATACACTTGTTAATGTTTCTGAGGCACATGGATGTTTCAGAGCGGCACAGGCCACATAAACATTTGAAAAGAGAACATATGTCTTTACAATTTTGGTTGCTAATAAGACAAATTCCAAACTATGTCTATACTGTCTCTTAGTGCACTGGTTTCTGCTACAGTGCACAGCAATTGGCCTGGGTCCCTTGTAAGTCCAATGTGGTGCCCCTGTGGCCCTGTGGCCTTGAAACATACTGATTTTTTGGGGGGGGGGGGGGGGAGGTAAGCTCAAAGTGCCAGCTCCAATGAGAGGTTACAGTGCAGCTTGCCCAAGCACTAGTCTTTCAGTCTGATGCCGAGGGTAAGCATAGCCTGCCTCTTTGGCCATTTAAAGGTATGTGACAGAGTTGAGGACTGTCCCTAGAAGAGGGTATCTTGGTACCTATCTATAACCATACTGACTACCTTGAGTGGGCTGCAGAGGGAACTATTCTGTCAGCTGTGCCCAGGTTTTCCCCTTAAGTGAAGGGCGCTCAGGAACAAACTAGGATTTGTGTGATGTAGGTGATCTGCGTCCTAGAGTGAAATAACTGCCTAAATCGACAGTAAGGACACTGCATGTGCCAGTCCTGGGGCCCAATATTGGCTCTGACATCAGAATTCCAGCCTAAACATACCACGTGATTTGCTGGAGATGCCGGCACAGGCTAAAAAAACATGTTAAGAAATTTAAATTATAGAAACTGTTTGAGATCTTCAGGCCCACACCAGAGCAAGGGTACAAGATGGGGCTCGTAAAAGCCACAGAAGGGTTGTCCCCACAAAAAGAGGCCCTTTTGTGCTTTACACAGATCCAGGAAACATTATCTGCGCAGGAAAACTCCTCTGTTTCTTGTTACCCCAACAACGTTACCTAGACATAGGCCTTTACTCCCTCTCCCAAACTGAGTCACCTTCCTCTGGCATCTCCTTCAGCAGCGGTGCCAGGCACGTTGGCTAGGTTAAGATCCAGCACCTCCCTTCTTCAACCCATTCACTGTTACCACAGCTTAAACTTGCATTAGGTTAAGCAAACAGCACGGATCCTGCTCAATAATGATAGCTGCCATTCCCAAAGGACTTATGGTGAGAGAAGACACAAATTTTGCCAAGACTGGAAAGTTCCCTATGGCTAAGCACAGGTTTCACTATGCAATTACAAGGTATACATATGCATGTTAAAAGTAAATATGCATCATACCAGGCAGAGAACTTGCACCAAAAATGGTCAAGCAGTCAAGAAGAACAGCCAAATTGATCCGGAACATCACAGATTCCTCCTGAATGGCAAATTCTTGAAAAATTTCTGCCTATGAGAAAAAGAAAAGGGATGAGGAGAGGAGAGTTTTTGCAATTATTTTACAGCTTGCATTCATCTCCTTAAGTTCAAAGTTTTCACTTTCAGTGCAATACAAAGTGATTTCTATATGGAACACAATTTCTGTCAAAAAACAATTGGTCTTCATCCTCAAAAATTAGTAAGATAAAATCAGATCAAAGTTTAAACAAAGTAGCATGTCATAAGCATGAAAATCTAAACACTTATCTTTTATAGTTTAAAAATAAGTCATAAATGTGAAGCCACGTGTTTCTGGAGCAGGAAACATTCAGGTAACTATGTGACAAAAATGACACACTTCTCCATCTCTGACACAACCCCATAAACGACTAGACCTAGCTTATTGTAACAGTTACAGTAAACAAATTGTTGAGTATTTTCAGGCTCATGTAGAGACACTCTGTACTCAGTTCCTCTCAGGGAATACACACAAACTTGAAATCCACACTCGAAAACAGTAAGTAGGCTAATGACAACTACCACAGAAGAAAGTAGGAACTGTCTCGAACCTTGTTCTTTTAAAAACATTTCCTGGAAACACAAAAGAAAAAAAAAATCAAATTGCCTCCAATTATATAATTTAACAAACCAAAAATTGTTTTCAACAACGATGTGACTTATTTACTTTTATTCTTAAGAGCTTTGCAGCAAAAGTATGAGAAAAACATCTGGAGTAATAAAAATATATAACTGTACTTTCAAAAGTAGCTGAAATCACTCCCTACTTCTTCTGAGATACTCTTTTTCTATTAAAGTAGTCAAAGGCACAGGTCACCACATGTGCTGAACTCAGGGGAAAAAAAAAAAAAAAAAGCTCAACCTACTCAAAAGTGTGTCTGTGTAAACTCTCAAAACACTCTTTTAGGCCAAAACACTCTTCACGCCAAAGGCACAGGCAGAATCAGAAGGCAAAGGGTGCAGAGCATTGCTCCAATCTTGCAATGACAAGAGCACACACACATTTCTGCCGTGGACTTGAAGGCCTGGTGAAAAGATCTTAGTGTAACCCAGCTGAGATACTCTAGATGAACATCTGGGGCTTCAATTCTCTTTCATAGTTAACGGTAACTTAAACTCATCTTTTTGGCTTTAGAATAAAACATACTAAATGTTTTTAGAGATACTTTGTGAACCACTCACGAATCTAAGAATGCTACTGTCAGAAGAACAACGGGTTTATCAGGTGCCAATATACTAAATGAGGATGCACACTCAAAATGTGAGCAGACATCGAGTTCAGCTTTGTAATCACAGGGCCATAACATAACTGACCGTAGCCTAACCAGAGCAGTGCCCTCATGTCAGCTTCTCCAGCTGTTCCATGGTTTTGCTCAAGTTTCCCCTTTTTCGCAAGTAACCTCCCTGCACACACCTCCTCTGCCAAATAATTCGGGCCTTTCTCAGCTTTCTAGCACTGCTACGTGCTTATCTCGCACCCCGGCGGGGAACGACGGCCGGCTACTACGTGTGAACGCTTTGAAGCTCGATGTAAAACGCAGCGGGCGCGCAGACAAACGGCAACGGAGACCGCTAGAAACCTCTTCTTGCGGCTACCGGCAGCCCCCGCTCCCGCCT